CAATCTTATAACTCTAGCACATTTACTCTGACAGCTAGATAATAACTTTGGTTCAGTCTAGGGCACAATCCCTCTTATACCAATCATATACATTCTTTCAAATCTAATTATCTTAACATTCGCTTACTCAACTTATCAATTTCACCTCTATTCTCATACATCCTGAAATTTCTTTTACTCAAACTCAACATTCTGACTTCCTGTGTCCTATAATCTGATCATCGATATACATATTCTCAAACTCTTCTTATCAATCCTCAGCTTTACTTAAATATACAAATTCTTACTTTGTTTTCCTTTACTATACCACATTACTATGATCCAAATATGCAACTGTATCCAGATCCATTACGGATTTGGTTCTCATATCCTGACAATATCTTATAATCTTATCATTCCAGTACATTTTTTTTTATCAAATACTCTAGTTAGCCCATACTAACTCTTTTCATCTTAATTGCAAACCCTTATCATAACCATACTCTTGTTTATGCGCAATACTATCACTTCGTTTCAAACTCATAAACTCTGACTTTATACATCTTATACACTTGTCACTGATGCACTTATCCTTAAGTTCTTCTATACGTACTCATCACGTCCTTAGATCTTTTTAACATTCTTATGGTGACACCCGTTCACCATATTCTATCTTATCCACATAATAACTCTATATCGTTTTTCCGATTCCAAACGATGAAAACTTTCTATCATTATTCAGATATGATTTCAGCTTTCTGAAATCAACTTTTGATCTTACTAGGCATTTCCTGAGGTGTCCGCTCTTCATCCTGCCTGGCCAGGGCAAGTGAATAGCTATCACAATCAGGAATATCACCTTTCACTTACTTCGAAATTATCACGATCGGATTTCTACTGTATTAAACTATTCTTATTCTATTAGCAAGACAACATATTCCTTACACTATCAGATCAGAAATTTTTCAATCTATGTTGGCATGTACACCTTTATGACACTTTGGACTTCGGTTTATGCCGAGAATCGGCTAAACCTTAGCTCTGATACCATTAAATGTAACACCCCCAACCCGTATCCGACCCGGATACGAGTCCGAAGTGACACATTGACTTTTTAAACATTTATTCGTATAAAATAGTGGGTAATTTAAAAACTTTGATAACATTTAAATTATTTCCAAACGTTTACGACAGATATCAGAGTTCATACCATTTATATCTTTAGACTACATGCCAACTACACTCTGTAAACAGTACATACATTTTCTGATCTGACATTTGGTAAGGAAAACTGACCTGTCTTGCTCCGCATTACTCTTTACTCTTCTCGAAACCTACGTGTGAAACAATCACACGCTAAGTCGAAGACTTAGTGAGGCATAACGACTTATAATGCACTTCATAACATATATCAATACATGCATGTTCTGTTCTATCATGTTATACCAATTTCATGCATTCTTCGTATCATATAAGATCATATCAGATTAATTACAGTAAATACATACAGACACATAATTCATCATTAACAGTTTATCATGTAATCACATACTCTTATTGTTAACAATTTTCAATCAAACACTATACACACACAACATCATATGATTCACGTAACACATTTCAAACCACTTATAAACCCATCGTATACATATCACATTCAGTATGCTTGTTTAATCACTTTATTAGCCCATGTACACTAGTGAGAACTTAAGGTATGTGAGTACATTGAGGTTGTGCACACATATGCTGTCACCACAGCTCGATCAATGTCCCGAAGGACCAGTCCATAGATTCCGAAGAACCTAGGTAATCAGTCCATATGTCCGAAGGACATAGGTAAACAGTCCATATGTTCCGAAGAACATAGGTAAACAGTCCATATGTCCCGAAGAACATAGGTAAACAGTCCATATGTTCCGAAGAACATAGGTAAACCCTCGACCCTTGGCATGCCAACTATACCCCTAGCTCTCATATCACATAACATGGGCATTATCATTTATAACAGTTCACATTACTTATTCATATTCTTTCTCTTATAACCACATATCTTTTCTTTTCAGTCACGTATCACATGTACGTGTAATCATGATCTCATAACATATACTGTTTTCACATATATATTTCATATCATTTCACATATACACTTTCATATCACAGGCCATATAAGCTCATATCTTTCTCATGCAGTCACATAGTTCAGTTTCACATATGTTCATATATATACATTACATAGCACATACTTCTCATAACATTACATTCAAAAGCATGTTAACACATATAATCATGCATACATACAATTCATGTCATTCATATACGTATAATCATATATTCATGCATTCTAACAGAGGAAAAAGACTTGTCGCAAGTCTTGTTTCCATTTAGCACCATAAACTAATTAATATGCACTCACCTGGCCTCACTAGTCAATTCCAATCTCTTATCTTTCCCTTTGATCGATCTTACTTGCCAAACGTTCCGGAATTCTTTATGCGTAGAATCTACATAAATGTATATTTCGGGACAATCATTAGATACCTACACCTTGTAATTGGATACTAGCAACTTAAACGAACTTATTAAACCCATATTCCCAATTTTTCCTTTAGGGGGAATCGGTTCCCCCCTATGGGGTATCGATTCCCTCCAGACATTCTGGAATTCTGTCGTTTGAAGGGGTATCGGTTCCCCTTGAATGGGTACCGATTCCCCTTACCCAGAAATCATATTTTCAACCCGAAAATTCCTTCATTTTCACTCAAACACTTCATATATCATCTCCTTTTCATTCTTAACTCTAGTACACATACTTAAACCAATCTATATTCATTTATTTCATCTTAAACCTCAAAATCCTATCTTCCATATATAATTCAAAAATCATATCAAATTTTCTATATGTTCAAAATCAAATTCTATCATTCCAAATCTCTTAATTTAACCATTGACAAGTCAAATTTAACTTCAAATTCTACTTATCAATTCTTTTCCAAAGTTTCATATAAAAACTCCAAATCTTTAATCTCTCATAACCCCTCCATCATTTGTTTTTAAGATGATTTAAGCTTTCCTTAAGCTTATTTAATACCCAAAGAATCAAAACTAAGCTTAAAACTTAAGAATTAACCAACTGAAATTAACTTACCTTTTGTAGCTAGCCCCACGTGAAGAAGAGAAAGCAAGAAGAAGAAAGCTTTCAGATAGCTCTCTTCCCACGTTTTTCACTCTTATAAAAGGGGGAAGAATATCTTTTAAAGGAAAAGACCATACTACCCTTAATTTCCTTTAATAATTACCAAATAACCTTTAATATAAATTCAAATAATCATTGAATTCTTTCATTCTTATACTTTAGTCACCAAATTCTGAAACTCTACAATTTGGTCACTAACCCGGTATTGCGGATGTTACATACTATGTCAATATTGATATCGGATATAACATTTTGAATGAAGACTCTACAATGAGTATAATTGAAGCAACATAGACATTGAGTATACGATTGTTTCACATTAAGGGAGGTTGGGAGAGAGATATGAAGTGTTATTTGTTCTTAGTCCAATGCATCTAATGGAAAATAAAAAATAGTTTATGCATTGTAAAATCATGACCGCGTAATCGCATGTACTGTTGTCAACATTCTATTAATTTCATATTTCATGAAAATTTTACAAACATATTACCAACGTGATGGAATTTATAAGATTTGTTTATTGTGTTTGGAAACATGAAGGTAATAATGTAATAGATTTCTTTTATTACTTGGGCTGATTGAATGTAAGTTTTTTTTTTTAGTTTAGGATTTCATCTACTAAGTTGTTCCATGTAGTTGTTTACTTATGGTTCATGTTTTATGCTTTGAATGTGTTTTACAAATTAATTTGTGCATTGTAATTCCTTTTTTTTCACTAATTAATTTTATGTTATGTTCGAATTTATTGTAAACTTATTGTAAATTTTATATATTGTAGTTTAGGATTGGTTAACGTTTTTCTCCTTTAGGAATTTCCTACATGTAATTTTAAATTTCTACATAAATTATAGTTGAAGTTATTTTGATGGGTATCAAGTACATTAAAACTAATTGTACATAAAACGGATCAAAAATAAAAGTAAAATTTAAGTTATTAAATTTAAACTATTTAAAATTGGGATAAAACTTACAGAGATTGGAGCATAAATGTGGAAGGCAGAACTGATAGAATTTATAAAAACGGGGTTAAATTTATTAGATTATTTAAAATTAAGACAATTAATAAATTTTGCTAATGTCAAGATTAAGTTGATTGAATTATTTAAAATCAAGGTCAAATCGGTAAAATTTGCAACAAGAAAAACTAAATTTGTTGAATTAGTTCGAATAGAAACAGAATTCGTTTACAAGCATTGAAGATAAAATGAATAAACGTGAAGATCAAATTGTAAAAAAATATAAAGGGGGGGGGGACTAAATTAGTTGAATAATTTAAAATTATGATCAATAAGTGCTGAGGATTGAGTACATAATTATATAAATTAAAAATTGAATTTTGTTATCAGCTCAACGGACCGGGTACTAAAATGAAACTAAAATGTATCAGTAGTGACTAAATTTATAATTTTTTCAGTTTGTTGATCAAAGCAGAACACACTTGGTAGTTTGATTCTTACATTAAAAACCATAAGATTTCAAAACAAGGTATCAAATATAATTCCCATCAAAAGTTTGACCACAAACTGACACTAATTCAAATCTTACAACAGCTATTAACATAATGTTCTCAGGAGCATCACAATCACTCTATTAAGCAACATGTTTGAGGGATGCATGAAAAGGAAGGACCAGAGAGAAGCAATTGTCTGTCCTCCAACATATCTGGAAGGCCTGCCATCTCAAATAGCCATGACACCGGCGGGAATCATAAGTCACAACAGATGGAAGACTTATCGATGTATCCCCGCCTTCAATGCTTCCCCACATGACCAGCCTTGGATTCACTTGACATAGGACACGAAAAAGCCAACTAAACTGAAAATGTAACTGACCAAGAAAGCACTTACAAAGCCTTTTAGAAACACTTCCTGTGGACAATGGATGGACCAGACTCATCGTACTCGCCCTTGGAAATCCACATCTAATGCAACAGGTAAGCCAAGATATGTCGGTCTCAGGCAACAAAACTAAATGGAAAGCAAAATAGCTGTTTATATGCAAAATTATATTTCACCTGCTGGAAGGTGCTGAGTGATGCCAAGATGGATCCTCCAATCCAGACACTGTACTTTCTCTCTGGTGGTGCAACGACCTTGATCTTCATGCTGCTTGGAGCAAGGGCGGTGATTTCCTTGCTCATACGGTCTGCAATGCCAGGGAACATAGTTGAACCACCACTGAGCACAATGTTGCCGTAGAGATCCTTCCTGATATCCACATCACACTTCATGATAGAGTTGTATGTAGTTTCATGGATTCCAGCTGCTTCCATTCCAATGAGAGATGGCTGGAACAGGACCTCGGGACAACGGAATCTCTCAGCACCAATAGTAATGACTTGTCCATCAGGTAACTCATAGTTCTTCTCAACAGAAGAGCTGCTTTTGGCAGTCTCTAGTTCCTGCTCGTAGTCCAGAGCAACATATGCAAGCTTCTCTTTCATGTCACGGACAATTTCCCGTTCAGCAGTGGTGGTGAACATGTAACCTCTCTCAGTAAGAATCTTCATCAAAGCATCAGTGAGATCACGACCAGCAAGATCTAGACGGAGAATGGCATGTGGAAGGGCATATCCTTCATAAATTGGCACAGTGTGAGAGACACCATCACCGGAATCCAGCACAATACCTGTTCCAATAGGTAGATAATTCAGTGGTGGATTGATTCAAAACAATCTATAAAGCTACGAAACATTTAGAGGGACTTAGTGAACCTGTTGTACGACCACTGGCATACAAAGAGAGAACGGCCTGGATGGCAACATACATGGCAGGTGCATTGAAGGTCTCAAACATGATCTGGGTCATCTTTTCTCTATTGGCCTTGGGGTTCAGAGGTGCCTCAGTGAGAAGAACTGGGTGCTCCTCTGGAGCAACACGGAGCTCGTTGTAGAATGTATGATGCCAGATCTTTTCCATATCATCCCAGTTGCTTACAATACCATGCTCGATGGGATATTTCAAAGTAAGGATACCTCTTTTAGATTGTGCCTCATCTCCTACATAGGCATCCTTCTGACCCATCCCAACCATGACACCAGTGTGTCGTGGTCGACCAACAATGCTGGGAAAAACTGCCCTGGGAGCATCATCACCAGCAAAACCAGCCTGAATGATAAACAAAATCAGCTCAAACAAGAGAAAGTAAAGCTCTTCATTAAAGAAATAAACAATAATGGAGAGAATAACTCGTGTCTACAAGTCAACTAACCTTCACCATTCCAGTTCCATTGTCACAGACAAGGGGTTGAATATCCTCGGTATCAGCCATCCTTTAAAATTCTACAAACAAGAATTGAGATAGTGACTAGTGAGTTTAAGAAAATAATTATCAACCGGGAAATCTATCTCATTGGCAGATCCATTTCTAGCTCTTCTTATTTTTTAGTTTAAATACATTTACAATCTACAAATTTATAAACACAAGCAAACCCAAAATCATAATTTACAATTAATTTAATTAAAAATAAAATTAATTAATTAAAAACCCAACCAAAATCTAAACCACCGTGATGTGACACGTTTCTATTAATATCAGTTTGAGTATACTCGCCCCCCTCCCCTTACCAAATCAGCCGCAACCCAGACCATCCAATCCCATCGGACGGAATATCTAGCTTTAAATAAAAAGAAAAAATCTGACCAAACCGAACGAAGGATTATCTCGGTTATGGTGTATATCTAAGGTCGGCCGGGTCGGTCAATTTTGGTATATTGATCGATTGATTCGATTTCGATATGTAAAAATCTAACTGATTGAAATTTACCGATTTGCACCCGTTTAAGCTAGAAAAAAGTTTTGTTAGCCAACCAATTTCAAAATTCTAAACGAAGACAACATTCATGAACGGTTAAGCAACCTATGGACAAGAAACAGAATCACTTATCCAAAGAAATAAAAATAAAAATTAGAGCCTCCAAATCATTTCAGAATAAAACTCGGGAAATCAATTAAAATTAGAACCTGAAAGAATCAACCAGAACAAGTTGGAAGTCAAAATGAATTTTCTCGTGAAGATCTACAAAGAAATCGCAAATGTAATGAAGCAAACCAAGCTAAGTAAGGATCCAGATTAAAAAAAAGAAGCAGATCGAGATAATATCAAACTCTCTGGAAACTAAAAACACTTAGATCTCAGTTCCATCATCGGCAAAACATCAAAATCTACAGATTGGTTGATTTAAAACTAAAATAGAAGCAAAATAAATGATTTACCTGAATGAGAACGGAAGAAAGAAGAAGTACTAGAGGGAGAAAGAGGGAGACGAAGACGGAAGAAAACGACGTCGCTTGTTCCTCTCTTTCTCTCAGGTAGGTGATGCTGCTGGAGACGGAAATGAAGACGAATGGAGAGAAAGACGGGTATTTATATATGAAAATTTAAGACATTAAGGAATGTTTCAAGGGATTGAATTTTTTTAAATAAAATGATTTAAAATATTTCATGAAATTGTATAAACTTTTTTCTTCTTCAAATTCTAATCAAATAAAAAAGTTAATTGCAACACACATCCTCAAATTATGATTCTAATTTTAAATTGATCAATAATTTTCAAATATTTCAATTTCATCATTAAACTATGACTCTCGTTCTAAATTGATTCTTCAACTTTTTTAATATTTTAATTTCTTCTCTAAAATATGACATTCATTTTAAATTTATCCTTAAACATTTGAACGTTCTTCCCAAATTATTGATATATGATATGATATGGTATAAACGATAATAAATGTTGGATTTAAATAAAATAATGATTTAACTTTTGAATGTAGAAATAATATAAACAAATTGGTAAAATAAAAATAAAAAAATAAAACTTTTTTATTTCATTCAAAATAATGATTTCGGGGGCCATGATAAAATATTAAATATCATTTATGTCCTATTAAAAAAAATTACTATATTCTATGTCACATCGTATTAATATATAATCTACACAGTGTTGACGTGATAAATAATAATTTTTTTAATTATTTTATTAACATAAGATATGATTAGCATATACCGATAGTTTGGGGATAAAATTAGAATGTTCAAAATTTTGAGATCAATTTAAAATGTGAACCACTGTTTGGGGATGAAATTAAAATGTTCAAAAGTTTATGAATCAATTTAAAATAAGAGATTAAGAGTCATAATTTGGGGACGTAATTAACACATTTAAAATTTTAAAATAAATTTAGAAGGAAAGTCATAATCTAAATATGAATTGTAAAAATTAACTCAAATAAAAAAATAAATCTAGTTGTTTATATACATAGGGTTGGTTTTTTAAGTAAACAATTTATTTAGTCATCCAACAATCACTTTTGTTTCGTTTTGGTCCTCAACTATTTTATTCAAATCATCACTAACGTTACGTTTTACTCATTTTAGTCACATGTCGTTAAAAAATTATTAGAACTACTGAACTGCAATTTTATTTTTTTCAATGAGGATGTGGCATTATCTTATGATGACACGTCAATATTATCGTAAGTTTTTTTTAATGGCGGTGACCAAACTGAAACTAAAATATAATATTAGTGATGATTTAAAATAAAATAGTTGTGTCATCAAAATAAAACCAAAGTGATAGTTGAGTTACTAAATATGTAGCTTATCATAACTTTTATTATACTTATTTAAAAAAAATATAAATAACAATTTATATTATATTTAAAGTTTATTTTGTATATAAATATGGGGTGAATACAAGGTAATATTGTGATATGTCAACATCACTATTAATTTTTTAACGGTAAGTGACCAAAATGAAATTAAAATATAACATTAGTAATGATTTTGAAAAAACAATTGAGTGACCAAAATGAAACAAAAGTGATAATTGAGTGATTAAATACATAGTTTATCATATGTTGTATTATACTTATTTTAAAAAAACCATAAATAACAATTTATATAGTATTTAAATTTCTTTGATATTCGTATCAACTCTAAACTAAAGGCAACGGTGAATCATTTCGACCACCACGAGAAAAGATAAGAGTGACCTGGCTGGCAGCCTTTTTATTTGCACAACCACTTATCTCGCGTTTTTCAAATTTATTTTACAGTTGGATTATACATCGAAATAAAATAAGTTATGCTGATGTAATTTAATGTTCTTCTCCTTCCTGTTATTAGGGTGTGAAATTCACTGTTATTAATTTTAAGGATTTTTTATTTTAATTACTGTATTTTTTTTAGAAACAAAGTGAAAACGAGTAGTTCGATGATCATTTCAACTGGAGAAATTATCGAACGATGACAAAAATGATAACGGTATGAAACCATCCACATAGTAACTGGACTTCTAAAATGTGACAAAATATGAGTTGAAATAAGTAATTTACTTTTTATTGGATAATCTTATATTCAAAAAATAAATTTTAATATTTGAAAGAATAAAATTATTTTGAGTGATAATATAATATTATTATTAATAAACTCTTGGTAGGGATGAAACCAAGATGAAATGTCAAGAAATCAAGTTTAAATGATAGTAAAATATGATGTCAATATCTCATTATTAAGACATAAATTTAGAATTTTAAAATTGAGATTTAAGGTGTAAGTGATTAGTTTTGAAATTTACATAAACCTAAGAAGTATTTAAGCAAAAGAAAACTGAGGGCAAGGCTTACTTCAAAATTAAGAGGGAATTAATAAATATTAAAATTTTGAAAAATAAAATCAATGTCTAATCTACCTAATTTTTAAAAATTAAAATTTCATTTATCTCTCAACTAATTTCGTTCTCATAAACAACGACAATCATGATGACATAAAAAAACATTTACGCTTAAATAGGATACTAAGTTTGGGGTTGTGGCCACTAGAGATATAATTTATGTTGTGCGACAATTAATTTAAGATTAGTTTAAGATGATTTTTAACTTAAAATGTTATTTTATTCAATTTAAAGAGTTATACAAATTTATAACAAAGAATGTTATATTACAGTGGTTTTACAGTTTATAACTGAAAAAATGAAACAATTTATAATAATTTCGAATACAATCGAAAAATGTTATAGAAAATATATATTTTTGGTTCAACTTAAAATATTTTCATGCCCAACTTAAAAAATTATAATCTTAATAACAATTTCAACTATAAAATACTTTCCACCGTTTTTTAATCTTACATTAATAAGTTATATTTCAGATTCTTTATATACGAGAATAAAAGAAAGATAAAGAAGTGACATTTGTGGTACTCCATAGCTCCCATGGTTTCTTTCGGATTTACAATTATTTTATCACATCCTTCACATTACAATAATGCAGCACGCACGTTTGATTAAAGTATAACATGTCCATGATATAAAAGTATAATGAAGCACCCACGTTTCTGAGATTTTGTTGGTTCTAGGGCGAATAAAAGAATTAGGCCCCTAATCAAAGATTTAAATTACCGTTTAAATTTTACTTCGGTCGTGTTGTGTTTATCACTATTGCAGATACAGCGGATGATATTACGGTCACTGTAAATATCGTAGTTGTGAATTTTTAATAACATATGATATTATGGGCATAAAAATTATGGATATCACGATTTCGGATGATATCGTTACTATTACATAATGATTGTTGTTGTAGTTGCAAACCATTTTTTAAGTAGTTGTTCCTAATAACAAATGTTAAAAAAATAAATTTAAGGGTAACTCCATATAATAAGCATTGAAAATTTTGGTCTCTAATAAAAAAATAAAATTTAAGAGTATGCCCATACTAATAAATATTGAAAAAATGGACTTCTAATAAAAAGTACTGAAAAAATAGACTCATAATAATAACAAATAAATTTTAGAAAAGAAACTAAAGTTTAGAAGTATGCCCTATAAAAAATGTTGAAGAAATTGGGCCCCTAATAGCAAATGTTAAAAAAATGAACACTTAATAATAAATATTAAAAAAAATATTGGTAAAAAACTAGACAATAATACAAATATTAGGAAAAAAATAAACTATAAGAATAGGCCCCGATAATAAATATTAGGAAAATATGAACCTATAATAATAAATATTAAAATAAAATTAGACCTTCTATAACAAATATTAAAAATAATTGGGCTCCATAATTTATATAAACTCATTTTATATATATATATATATAGTATATTATAGAAATTATGGGCCCTAGACAGGTGCTCCTCCTGCTCAGGCCTAGATACGGCCCTGCCTATAATACGGTGAGAAAAATAAATTTAATTATTAGGAGTAATATTTATATTTATATTTCATTTTTTTTATGTCAAGGTTTATAGTTTTTTCCAAACATTTTACAAGAATAATGAAGTCAATAATGCAATTTAATTATAAGAAAGAACTTACAAGAGTTCTTTAATTATTCAAATCGTAACGTGACAAGGAGTGCGATTTGAGTATTGAATGGGTGAAAAGGTAAATTGAAAGCAAAGAAATAATAACGAAGTCAATATGTTACTTCTACTATGGTATATTTATTTGATGGATAAACCATCTCAAATGTCAATAATTTTATTAATTTGTGTATTATTTTTTATCATCAATTTTAAATTGTTTTTTAATTTGAATATAAAATTTAAATTTTAACTATAATTAGGGTATTGTGTTGTTAAATTATCAACATTTGATGGCGTTTTCGTTTCTGTCTCATGAAATTTTGTTTGTATATTAATTTTGTTATTAAACTTTTAAATTCTTTAGTCTTAGGCATTAAATCTAAATTTAATTATTAAATTGGTCCATGAAGAAAATCATCAACTTCTTTGTTCGTCACTATAGGTTAATTGTTACTTGTCACCAGTCACCGATTGCGACAAGATCTGTACCAAAATGTTCACATCCCACTACACTTTCTTCTCCTCGTATTGGTTTTACAAGAAATACACTCAAAATCGACGAAAATACAACTAAGGGTGCGTTTGGTTCACGGAATGTAAGATTACCAGTGGGAATAAAAGATTATCAGGGAATAAGATTACTGTGAATATTGTATTTTGTGTTTGGTTGGTTTAGCAGGAATGTAAGATTACCGTGTTTGGTTAAAAGAATAAAAGATTATTAGAATGTATATTTGACCAAATTGTCCTTATTATATGTTTGTATAATATTACAAATTATAAAATATTTATATATTTTCTTTAAAAAATTAAATTCATAATATTTATATAATTTTTTTTTACAAAATTACAAATATAAAAAAAGTTTAATGAAAAGGTAAAAAAAAATTTAATCCATGAACTTCATATAAAATTTTAATTATAGATTTTTTTTTGTAAATCTAAAATAATTTAAGGATAAATTTGTAATTTAACTTTCGTATAATTTTTATTATTCAATGACAGAAGAATGATATTTTTGAAAAAA